CATAACATACCTTACATGTTAGACATACCTTACATACAATCCACACATACTAAACATAACATACCATACATGTTAGACATACCTTACATACAATCCAAACATACTAAACATAACATACCATACATGTTAGACATACCTTACATATAATCCAAACATACTAAACATAACATACCATACATGTTAGACATACGTTACATACAATCCAAATATACTAAACATGACATACCATACATGTTAGACATACCTTACATATAATCCAAACATACTAAACATAACATACCATACATGTTAGACATCCCTTACTTACAATCCAAACATACCAAACAAAACATACCATACATGTTAGACATACCTTACATAAAATCCAAATATACTAAACATGACATACCATACATGTTAGACATACCTTAGATACAATCCACACGTACTAAACATAACATACCATACATGTTAGACATACCTTACATACAATCCAAACATACTAAACATAACATACCATGCATGTTAGACATACCTTACATACAATCCACACTTACTATACATGACATACCATACATGTTAGACATACCTTAGATACAATCCACACATACTAAACATAACATACCATACATGTTAGACATACCTTACATACAATCCACACATACTAAACATAACATACCATACATGTTAGACATACCTTACATACAATCCACACATACTAAACATAACATACCATACATGTTAGACATACCTTACATACAATCCACACATACTAAACATAACATACCATACATGTTAGACATACCTTACATACAATCCACACATACTAAACATAACATACCATACATGTTAGACATACCTTACATACAATCCACACATACTAAACATAACATACCATACATGTTAGACATACCTTACATACAATCCACACATACTAAACATAACATACCATACATGTTAGACATACCTTACATACAATCCACACATACTAAACATAACATACCATACATGTTAGACATACCTTACATACAATCCACACATACTAAACATAACATACCATACATGTTAGACATACCTTACATACAATCCACACATACTAAACATAACATACCATACATGTTAGACATACCTTACATACAATCCACACATACTAAACATAACATACCATACATGTTAGACATACCTTACATACAATCCACACATACTAAACATAACATACCATACATGTTAGACATACCTTACATACAATCCACACATACTAAACATAACATACCATACATGTTAGACATACCTTACATACAATCCACACATACTAAACATAACATACCATACATGTTAGACATACCTTACATACAATCCACACATACTAAACATAACATACCATACATGTTAGACATACCTTACATACAATCCACACATACTAAACATAACATACCATACATGTTAGACATACCTTACATACAATCCACACATACTAAACATAACATACCATACATGTTAGACATACCTTACATACAATCCACACATACTAAACATAACATACCATACATGTTAGACATACCTTACATACAATCCACACATACTAAACATAACATACCATACATGTTAGACATACCTTACATACAATCCACACATACTAAACATAACATACCATACATGTTAGACATACCTTACATACAATCCACACATACTAAACATAACATACCATACATGTTAGACATACCTTACATACAATCCACACATACTAAACATAACATACCATACATGTTAGACATACCTTACATACAATCCACACATACTAAACATAACATACCATACATGTTAGACATACCTTACATACAATCCACACATACTAAACATAACATACCATACATGTTAGACATACCTTACATACAATCCACACATACTAAACATAACATACCATACATGTTAGACATACCTTACATACAATCCACACATACTAAACATAACATACCATACATGTTAGACATACCTTACATACAATCCACACATACTAAACATAACATACCATACATGTTAGACATACCTTACATACAATCCACACATACTAAACATAACATACCATACATGTTAGACATACCTTACATACAATCCACACATACTAAACATAACATACCATACATGTTAGACATACCTTACATACAATCCACACATACTAAACATAACATACCATACATGTTAGACATACCTTACATACAATCCACACATACTAAACATAACATACCATACATGTTAGACATACCTTACATACAATCCACACATACTAAACATAACATACCATACATGTTAGACATACCTTACATACAATCCACACATACTAAACATAACATACCATACATGTTAGACATACCTTACATACAATCCACACATACTAAACATAACATACCATACATGTTAGACATACCTTACATACAATCCACACATACTAAACATAACATACCATACATGTTAGACATACCTTACATACAATCCACACATACTAAACATAACATACCATACATGTTAGACATACCTTACATACAATCCACACATACTAAACATAACATACCATACATGTTAGACATACCTTACATACAATCCACACATACTAAACATAACATACCATACATGTTAGACATACCTTACATACAATCCACACATACTAAACATAACATACCATACATGTTAGACATACCTTACATACAATCCACACATACTAAACATAACATACCATACATGTTAGACATACCTTACATACAATCCACACATACTAAACATAACATACCATACATGTTAGACATACCTTACATACAATCCACACATACTAAACATAACATACCATACATGTTAGACATACCTTACATACAATCCACACATACTAAACATAACATACCATACATGTTAGACATACCTTACATACAATCCACACATACTAAACATAACATACCATACATGTTAGACATACCTTACATACAATCCACACATACTAAACATAACATACCATACATGTTAGACATACCTTACATACAATCCACACATACTAAACATAACATACCATACATGTTAGACATACCTTACATACAATCCACACATACTAAACATAACATACCATACATGTTAGACATACCTTACATACAATCCACACATACTAAACATAACATACCATACATGTTAGACATACCTTACATACAATCCACACATACTAAACATAACATACCATACATGTTAGACATACCTTACATACAATCCACACATACTAAACATAACATACCATACATGTTAGACATACCTTACATACAATCCACACATACTAAACATAACATACCATACATGTTAGACATACCTTACATACAATCCACACATACTAAACATAACATACCATACATGTTAGACATACCTTACATACAATCCACACATACTAAACATAACATACCATACATGTTAGACATACCTTACATACAATCCACACATACTAAACATAACATACCATACATGTTAGACATACCTTACATACAATCCACACATACTAAACATAACATACCATACATGTTAGACATACCTTACATACAATCCACACATACTAAACATAACATACCATACATGTTAGACATACCTTACATACAATCCACACATACTAAACATAACATACCATACATGTTAGACATACCTTACATACAATCCACACATACTAAACATAACATACCATACATGTTAGACATACCTTACATACAATCCACACATACTAAACATAACATACCATACATGTTAGACATACCTTACATACAATCCACACATACTAAACATAACATACCATACATGTTAGACATACCTTACATACAATCCACACATACTAAACATAACATACCATACATGTTAGACATACCTTACATACAATCCACACATACTAAACATAACATACCATACATGTTAGACATACCTTACATACAATCCACACATACTAAACATAACATACCATACATGTTAGACATACCTTACATACAATCCACACATACTAAACATAACATACCATACATGTTAGACATACCTTACATACAATCCACACATACTAAACATAACATACCATACATGTTAGACATACCTTACATACAATCCACACATACTAAACATAACATACCATACATGTTAGACATACCTTACATACAATCCACACATACTAAACATAACATACCATACATGTTAGACATACCTTACATACAATCCACACATACTAAACATAACATACCATACATGTTAGACATACCTTACATACAATCCACACATACTAAACATACCATACCATACATGTTAGACATACCTTACATACAATCCACACATACTAAACATAACATACCATACATGTTAGACATACCTTATATACAATACATGCATACTAAACATAACATACCATACATGTTAGACATACCTTACATACAATTCACACATACTAAACATAACATACCATACATGTGAGAGTTCCTTACATACAATCCAAACATACTTAGAATAACATACCAAACATGTTAGACAAAGCTTACATACAATACACACATGATAGATATAAAATACCATACATGTTTGACATACCTTACATACAATCCACCCATACTAAACATAACATACCATACATGTTAGACATACCTTACATACAATCCACACATACTAAACATAACATACCATACATGTAAGAGTTCCTTACATACAATCCAAACATACTTAGAATAACATACCACACATGTTAGACAAAGCTTACATACAATACACACATGCTAGATATAACATACCATACATGTTTGACATACCTTACATACAATCCACACATACTAAACATAACATACCATACATGTTAGACATACCTTACATACAATCCACACATACTAGACATACCATACCATACATGTTAGACATACCTTACATACAATACATACATACTAAATATAACATACCATGCATGTTAGACATACCTACATACAAAACATACATTTTATTTAACAAATAATGATAAATATGAATATGTCTCATACCTTTGACGCCATTCCATGTTTGGCTTGGTCAATAGCGTCTGAGGGTCCAGGATCTAGATATAATAACATTGTTTAAGAAAACGGGTTATATCGAACGTCAACTTCATTCATATGAACCCCAACCCCCAATCCCCAACCTAACCCCCTACCCCACATGTATGTTAAATCATTACTTTTCATTTCTGTGGCACATGCTTAGGTTTATTTCAGGGGGAAATGATAAAACAAATACAGATTTTAAACGCGGTCAAAATTATGTCTACAACACTTCATGGCTAACAAAGGAAATAGTTAATGCTGATATTAAAACAATACATAGGGATAGTTAAAATACAATTTAAAAATAAACAATACGACATTTAATGCTTCTTTTAAAATAAATAATGCCGATAATGAATCCTTGTTTCAGAACAGGTTGAAATGATTTTCAATGATTATATTGAATAAAACTATTTCGAGGATTCTTAATGTTTATTTCTGAAAATTTAGTGGGAATAGTTAATGCTTTTTTTTCTGAATATTTTGGTTATTAATATGGCTTTGTTTATAAATAGGCCATTTCTTTCGTTAAGCTTAATAAAAGAGGCTATTCCTTCATTTTGATGTAAGACGTAGTTATATCAGTGTTATTTATCAAGGAGAACGCTGATGAACTAGAAACGCAACAAAAATGTTGAGTACAAGAATGCCTACATCAACGTGTATGTCCAGCCTGTAACGTGACACTGTAGAACTTTACAGGTATCAACGATGACATTAATGAACTCAATAACTAATTGTTATTGATGTAAATCGGTCGAGGCCTTCGATTCCGTTTCTTTTTCCTAATCGTGACGTAAGCCGATGTTGGAATGTTACGGATACTTAGCCCGAAACCGAAGTAACCCGATGTCCCTCAGTTACACGTTACTGTTGTTTTTTCTCGCACCTTTTAGTTCGAAAAACTATTCAATTACTCTTTATTCTACAAGTAATCCGTCAGGACCTTCACATACATATATTAACATTTGCATGGCATTGTCACTATATGTATATAGGCTATCTGAAAGCTGTGTCGTTGATGGGACTTACAATATCATGCACCACGAGTCATAATTATTAGCGTATTAATACAACACCGACCGGAACTACTATATCCAATGTAAACAAACATGACGGCTGCTGAAATATCGCTGGGCATTACGAAACCTGACAATAAAATTGTAAATGTATATAAAATTAAAAAATATTAATATTAAATAAAAGCAACTTTTATTACAACAAAAACAAGACCGAGGACTTCAATATCGTACAAAGTTCACATCAGTCAAAATAACCATTGCCGGCAATGGAAACAATTTTAACACTCATGCAATTTATTAGAAATATCGTCGTTACACTGCACTGCACTGATCCACAGGGGTTCGTTAGGGGTTCCTTACAAATGTCTGAAATACACATGCTATAAACCTAATGATATCAGTCACAGCACACATAAACATACACAAGGCATATGTGTATTTCAGACATTAGTAACGAACCCATGTGCTCTGTCGCAAGATCACTAACTTCAAACGCTATCAGTATCACGTGTCTATCAGCCATGGTTTCCTCAGTTTATGACGACATGTCAATTAACAAGACTGTTGAAGAATCTACCGACTGTATTCAGGTTCCCATACAATCAGCAAATAAATTCATGCTTGGATTCTTCACAAATTCGAACTTTTCTCTCTGCTTTTTCAACTTCAAAAAATAACTTCCTCGTGTAGGGCAAGGTCGGATTACGGTGTTTACTGTATTTATCCATGCGCGAAATTTGTTCTAACTTTCAGCTCAGATTTCTATTGATAAACTTAAATAATCCTATAGACAAGTCATACGCAATTGTATTGATACTGAATTGTGAAATTTTAAAGTACTACTTTGGTTGCCAATCAGCACGCAACAACACGCTGTTCCATTTATTGAACGAATTTGTGTGGACTGTCGATAAGGCGGGAATTTTAATTTTTAAATATAAATTGCAAGTTAAAAAGGACATTAAAGGCAGGGAAAACGTAAATATAAGTATTGAACTGTTTTTGTATGCTATTTATGCTCTATTTGAACGACACTGCTTTGCAAGCTAACAAATCATAATGCAATAGCGCGCATTATGATGTTTGCTTGCAAAGCTGTGTCATTCAAATAGAGCATAAATACCATACAAAAAAAGTTTAATGCTTTATGGCCTCCTCACTACTAAAGCTACGTTTGAATGCTTCAGGGTAAGCAATGTTTTCCGCCCTTACAAAGAAGAAAACGTATTTCACATTGTACATTATATATTATCTACAACATCATAAATCTAAAACAAATCCAAAACAAAACAATACATGTTACGACAAAACATTATATCTATAATGCAGATTATCAATTTTGAGCATTAGCGCGCGGATGAATATATTGCCTGCTGAAGATTCCGCAAAATGTGGCGGAAAGGTGTGACACAGATCGGACGACATAAACAAAAAATCTTGTACGGGATATCACGCGGGGTAATCCTGTCTGAGGTGCGAGGAACATATGTCTTAATATGACGTCGTAGATAACACTCAATGGTATCACAGACGTACACATCGAGTGTGTGCACAAGTGTGGATGTTTGCGAGAGTACTTTGACGTCAGATAATAACATGTTTAGTCATGTTTTTTAGTCATCATAAACATTTGTTCTTAAAATTACATGTTAGATATTCTGGTAATGCTCAAGATTATTCGAAAAAAGGGTCAATTTTCTGATAAAAAAGTCGGACCAAACATCGAAGGACGAAGACGATTTGTATTGATATAAAGTCATCATATCGTGAAATGGCGCTTAAATATTCGGAATTCACTTGAAACAAAATGTAAGGTCCAGTCAAAAGTGTTACACACGTTTGTGATGTAAGTGTCCACATCCTATCATGGCTGAACAATGTACCAGTACAATAAGACTACGTAAGTAAAACTACTAAGAGGTGTTGATTTCATACCTGGCACGGGCGGTTTCACGTGTTGTTTGAACCTCTCGTTTGCAGTCTTGCCATAAAAGATACTTGCTGTCGACCTCTTCCCCTTCCCTGGCATTTTCTCTAAAGATGGTTTGTCACCATCGCTTACTGAATTGGTGATTTTGTTCTTCCAAAAGTTCTTGTACTCAGTTTGAACTTTCAATAAGCTCTCTCTTACTCTCTGAAATAGTTAAATTATTATTTGGTACAAGTATGCTGTTTGTTGGTACTGACGATACTATCATAGTTATCTGCAAAATTGTCATGTTGTCAGACAATTTAGGTTATATATTACAGGTTATTTGCATATATCGCAGATACTGCGAACTGTCCATTTCTTGATAGTTAAAAAACTGCATCGACGTTTTTTCCAAATTATTTTCCCTCACTGTTAAAAATGGATAAAGGATTTTGACCTGGAATGCCAAAATATACACTCTCATATTCATGTTTTTATACAGTTTAATATTTTCCAAAGGCTTTTGGCGTATAGTACTATGTACATATTCATATTTCTTGGAATTGATGTGTTTGAATTATATCGCTTGAAAAGACTATTATCTTATTTATTGTGTGATAATAAACACTTTTTATGCATTTTAACTTAAATTTCTATCACAGCCCCTAAAAGCTTACATGAACTTAAAATGTAACCCAAGTTTGAGTGCTAAAGCAATATAGTGGTTACCAGTGGTACTTTGGATAAGGTGCTTTCAACTGAATCGGACTCAGACTTGGGTCTTCGACCTGTCGAAATATGAATATCAAAATATCAACACTCATCTTCACATTACAATGTTGCATTACCAACAAGAAACTGTTGCAGAAAGATTTTTCATATTTATAAAAAGAAATTTATTAAAGTAAATAGTTGTGAATACTCACTAATGTGTTTGGATAACGAAATAAGGAAGTGAATTTTAAAGCCAAACTTGAAAAACAAGAACCATCAGCTACCTTTATCAAGCCTATATTTCCTACACCGAGAGAAGACCAACGGTTTTTCGCCATCTTCACGTCTGTTTGCATCAGTTACCACCTATGCTCAATTCTTGAGTATAAACAATTATTTAATCATGTACTAATTAGGTCACATCACGACAGGAAGAAAAAAAGAAAAAATAATAAGTCATCATCGGTATTTCAGGTGTTACGCTCACTTACGCTTTCTGCACCCCTGGAAATTATGTCAGGGCAAAATTAAAGGCACGCGGATACCTGTTACCTGTCGTTTGAAGATTACAAAGGACCGACATCCTTTAAAGCAGGTTAATTTCACCGTTATGCTTGCCGCGGGATCAAAATTAATGTACATCACATGATCAAACTACTGTATACCGGGAAATTTACGCCTAATCAATGTTTCGGCAATAAAATCCATTTTCACCCAATACTGAATTCACAATTCTCATTTAATTACATCGTATACTATTTTGTTTACAAATGTTCGCTGTAATGACAAAATTCGATGTAACTGAGGAGGGCGAAAAAAGCGAAAATTAAACTGCAGCGGAAATGTCCTGGTATACAGTAGTCTACTTGTATCATCCACAGGGTGGCGCACACCGAGTCGCGATGTTTTCACGAAATAATCTATGGGTGCAGAAAGCGTAATTGAGCTTAACCTCTGGAGTATCGAGAATAAGTGCATGCAAAGGTTAGCCATTTTGAAATTATGTGTCACCTCCTAAAGTCAACCTTTCCGCGTCCGCTATTTCATCGTATGGGTGATCATCTTCATCTTCGGAGTTAAGTCCTGTAAAAGAAATACACATATACTTTTATAACTGCGAACCAAGTAGGAATTAATAAGTTGGCGAAATTATCCAATAATTTACCTTTTCTTCCATAATATAACATAATATGTTCATTGCATATATTTATATTTACTTTTTATGTTCTTGTTTTTATATATTGGTCTGTTCCTTAAATATTCAAGTCATGCTGCATATGTTCTATTTCCCGATACAAATAAAATATTATAGTTAACGTACAGAAATAAGGAAAAAGAATTTATAACCTATCTGGTGTGATGAATACCTTGTGGCTGTGAAGAGTATAAAGACGGATCGTTAACCTCATCCTTGCTTGGGAAAGACTTGCTTCTGCTTGTCTTCTGTTTCTGTGGACAAAAATATAAGCAGCATGGATGTCTGTAAAGAGGTAACACAAAAGAAAAAAAAAGAATCTTTTGTTTGATTTCTGTAGATCTATTGTTTGATTTCTGTAGATCTATTGTTTGATTTATATAGGCTATTGTTCGAAGACAATGCATCAAAAGGAACCTATTGTTATCGATTTAAATGTCTATTGTTATCGATTTGTATGGCCTATTGAATTAGAGGTACACAGGTGTCCAGAGGTCAACGTCCTGCGTTGGGATTATCTCCCTGGTGCCCCACATCACCTACTGATGGCCATGACAAGAATAGACTTGTTTTTAATGGTAAGGTATGTGCTAGTGCTTGTGGATTTCGAAGTCAATCAAGAAATGCGGTCAGTAGGGAAAACCCTACATAGCGTGTGCAGAAATAGGGAGTAATCTGTGACAAAAATAGAATGTGATCTCTCAGCTCTGATGAATTTTTCAAGAATGTGGTCACTGTGAAAAAATTATTAATCGTTTGAGTGTATTGAATTCAAATATTTTCAAATGTTAACCAGATATGTTCTCATTTGTGGCCGGAAAAAAGAATTTCTCTCCACTTAAGATTTAACTGTACACTAAACAGCTTAAAACACCCGATCAACAAGGACTACTTTAAACTTTAAACATTTTTGTTCATACAATAGGTTGTCATTCACAAGGTTGTAGAATTAAAACAAAAAACTAAATAAAAAACTGAGTGCTATTCAGAAAACTGTGAAATACTTAACAAAAAAATGGAAGAAAACAGAAGCTAAAGTGGAGAAAAAATTGGATATTTCTAGTGAGGAATCTACCCACGATGGATATAGTACGCAAGCTGCATCAACATAACATGCTTACAGACTATATGGTGGAAGACATAGAGACAGAAAGAAACAAGTATGAAAAAGCCAGAACAGTTTTGAGTTAATCAACCAGAAGAGGACCATCTGCATTTAGTAAATTACGTGAGAGTTTGATAAATTTAGGAAGACAGGATATAGTATGTGATTTGGACATGTCTGATTAGGTCAACAGATCTGTGGCATTGTATGGATAGGTCATTTGAGTTATAATTAGACTTTTTTTCGGTTAGATACAACCTATGATAGGATTCTGTATTTATTTCCACAGACTTTGTACATAAGATCTATAAATAGAAGTTTTGGATAGCAACAGTCTCTCGACAAAAATATATAATAGTTACCAGAGATTTCCTTAGGAAAAAAATTTCATGGAAAAAGTACTGAAAAAAACTTGTGTTTTTAATGAAATGGTACATGTTAGTGCTTGTGTCCAGAGGTCAATATTCAATGTCAAAAAAATAGAACTTGTATCTGTGGGAGACATTATTAAAAATTAACCTAACAAGGTTAACCTGATCTTGTAGTTTGGATATTTTTGGTTAGAATTTCAAAAATAAAAACCGTTGACCAATCAGTTCAAACTTATTATTATAACTATGGTGATATGTACAATACTATAAATTAGCAGATGTCCATTTAAAAAAAGCATTTGTATAAAGTATATGTTGTTACGTACACAACATCAAATCTTTATCAATGAAAAACATTCTAAATCACATATTTGACAACACATTGAAGGATTTATCAACACTCCATCACGTTTGTTTTCACTGAATATTTGAATTCATCACAAGATACCTCTGAATTTCATTTGAGTTCACTATTTGCTTTTGAAGACTACCATCATAAAAAAAATCGAGAAAAGATCAAGGTAAGTGATTTTATTATAAATAATCCTTAAACAACAAGTCGATCTGTTTCAATTCCTGGTCTATATCTCATAACTTCTGACGAGATCCTTAGAGTTGTGGCCCTTTGAGTAGAATTTTGACGGAAAACATTTAATATATTTTCAGATGTCTGACAAATTCTCTCAGCAGAGATAACGTCCTATCCCTTCCAGGATGAACACTGGGTAGTGTTCTGGCTCAAGAGTCCTATGCATGCAGAATTCTATGACAGTCTAGGAAAATCATCAGGACATTACAGTAAACACTTTGATATTTTTTTAAGGAAAAACTTAACTTAAAACTTAAAATTTAACGTGCGAGTTCAAAGTAAAGGATCAGTCAGCTGTGGATATCACGTTTTGTTTTATATCTTGATGAAATGTAAAAATGTGGCGATGGTGAATATTATACATATGTTGGAACAATATGATTCTCCAGACAAACATGTATATGAATATGTATCCGATAATTTCAAATGCGTGTAAATAAAATAATGTGTGTAGCCAAATCATGGGTGTATGTTGTTGTCTATATGAGGTGATAAATATGTGTCAACTACTCATTTAAAGTCCGACTTAAGAGAAGGATACATCATGTCTTCAGACAACAAGCTATCCTGGTGGAAAAAGAGATCTCTATTACCTATTTAATCCCCAAAGACTATACTTATATCGGGCGCTACGATTTCCGGAAAGACGACTCTGACATTCGATATTTTAAAACAAGCTTCGGGCATGTTTGAAGAAAACCCGACAAAAATAGTGTTAGTGTACGGAGAGTATCAACCCTTACTAGAACACATGGAAAAAGATATACCTGGACTCATTTTACACCAGGGTCTCCCGTCTAGAGAAGAGATACATGAATGGAGTCAGGGAAACGGTCATACCGTTCTCAGTTTGGAAGACATGATGAATCAAGTGGCTAAAAACGAGGACTCCCTACAGTTATTTTGTGTGACGGCTCACCACAGAAGGGTGACTGTGATGTTTCTTACACAAAATCTATACATGCCCGGGAAGTATGCCAGGACCATATTACTAAATTGTCAATACGTACTGTTATTTAGAAACGTCCGAGATGCTCATCAAATCGTAACATTTGGAAGTCAAGTATTTCCAGGGAAAAGTAGTTTCTTTAAGTAAGCATACGAAAAAGCAATGAGTATTTCACCTCTGTCCTTCCTCCGAAAATAAATACAGACTGCGCACGCGCATACTCAAGATACCATCGTTTATTTACCAAAATGATAAATAACAAATACGTCATTTAGCATCTGTCAGGCAACATGAGTCGTTCAATGAGAGTACACGCATGTTATTTACAAGTATTGTACCAGGCAGGCGTTAAACAGAGAAAGGCCTTGATTCAGACCATAACAAATGCTCAGTTACATGCAGTGTGTGAGGTCGCCCTGAACGTGTATAGAGACCCTTCCCGGTGTTTACATAAAGAAACTCAAACCCTACAAAACTGCCATTCGATCACTGATAAGTCGACGTATAGGACGTAGGCGGAGGAAAGCTATACTATTAAGGCGTCAAGGTTTATGAACCTTTTTGATAAAACCTGCTCTACAGACAATTAAAGAATACAATGGCTCAGGAACTGATTCTGATTCCCAAGATAAAATACGAGATGATGGCGTCCCTTCAGAAAACGGCAACTAATATTGAAGGCAGTGCACCTGAAAAGAATGTCACGATTCAACAGGAAAACCCCACGACAAACTTGATCCAGCAGGAGACCCCCGAACTAGTCTGAATTATTCTGACGTTTTATCGATTTTTTTTATATCGGTCTGTCGTCGGTTAATTGACGACAGACCGATATAAAAAAAAAGTCGATAAAACGTCAGAATAATTCGGACTTCCCCCGAACCAACTCGTTCTTGGGCATTATGAAATTCGTTATTCCAAGTAAATCTGAGAAGAAAGCAGAAGGCCTACTGGATTTCCTGACCCCGTGGTTATAAAGAATTTTACAGTGGACTGAGAGAGCAATACGCGCCCTTTTCGTTTATCGTTAACACTGATAGTAAATCACTCCTGTTGTACAATACCTCCCCCTTTCAACGTGGTAATGGATAAAAGTTAAAAGAAGAAAAGTGAATTAGGGTCGAAGAAAACTAAAAAGACAGACATCAAATGAATTGAATTTTAATAAGTACACATGATTTTATACAAAAATTATTGCATTAAAATGAAATGAACATAAAGTCATTTGTTTATTTATTATCATAGGTCATTGAATTCACTCTCACATAATAGCATGTTAAATCAAACCATAGCATTACTGTATTTACTGGTTTTAGTGTTTCGAAATGTGGATAATAAACGTGTCAATGAACAAAAAATGGTACGTTGAGTTGTACAAAAAACGTCACACGAACAGAAATTTAGAAAAACATGTGTCGAAAAATCGAACCGAGACATGTACAAAAGTATTAATTTTGAACGAAACATATATAAAATAAAGATTTCTTTTTTTTAAATGATTCATGTCTCTCAATAGTATTTGATTATTTGTTCGCGAATCAAAAATGATTTTTTTCTGTAACAAAAACGAGTCCAAACAAAAATCGTTTCACAGAGTTGTACAAAAAATGTTACGTGAACAAAATATTAAACAGTTTGTAAAAAAAATCAGGTAATGAACAGATCTTTTTAAAGAAAAACGTTTCACCTGTGTCTCATAGGCGTTAGATTTTTCTTTCTATCGAATCAAAATGAAAACGTCTTGTTATAACAAAACCGATCCATAAAAGGAAAAAAGTTGATAAAGATGGTACAAAACCATGAGTGAAAAATCATTTCATTAATCATATGGGTATTTTATCACTGGCCCGTTTTAATGGTCATCTCAAATGTAATAACCAAACGGTAAGCTGTCAAATGTATCCCGTTGGATACAACGCTGTGTATGTACTATTTTGTATTTTCTTTCTTCCACAGAAGAATATATTTTTCGTTTTCGTTTTTCTCTAGTTATTTTGTTAGGATTTGTCAAGGAAATGGTATTTTCTTTGCTCTGGGTTTTTTTTTCTTTTTCTGAGGTTGAACATCTTTTTCTCTTTCTTTTTGGTTTAGGTAATTTGTTAGGTTTTATCGACGAAAGGGTACGACAGGATCATACTGACTTGTTTCTTCAAAATGATAGACTTCAATAATTTTTCAAAATTCTGTAACCCGTCTCGACGGCTTTTACTAATTCTGGTGTACACAACGTACCTATCATG